TTCTGAATCAAAGAAAAATGAATTCTTTGGCTTATATTTCGGTATATTACTTATTCAAATATTAAATCCTGTAAAAGAGCCCTTGAGTTTTATTTTATATTATTATCTTTATCTCAGAATATTATATCCTGATTATGGAAAATTCAGTAAAGATGCAGTATTAACTATTTTTTGACTTAGATTGTGGATACAACTGATGAAATCACTTACTCCAAATAACTCATTTTATAGATGATAAAGTTGAGGCCAACAGTGTTTATGTGCTCTGCACTCTTTAACACTACAAATCACATGTTATGTTGTTGTTGTATACCATTGTGTCAAAAGTGACCCATAGTTGACCCTCTGGCAGGTGTTCAGATTGTCCATCCTTCTCCCACAGAGCAGCTGATGGATTCGAACCTTGTGACTCCAGGATTGCAAAGTAGCTACTTGCCACTAGGCCATATAAAAATAATAATATTTAAAATAACTTCATAGAGAGAGCTCAGATGGCCTAGTGAATAGGAAGTTATGCTACCAAGCCAAAGGTGAGTGATTTTAATCTGCAGCCCTCAGGCTTTGTTATGATTGTTTTGGTCAAACATTCTTCTAAATGGAACAGCACTAGTCTGTCCACTTACTGCGCAGAGGTAAATTATGGTTGCTGTGATGCTAAACACTGTATCACTTATGTGTCAAATGTGATCATGATGACCCATGGTGGGCAGTGTTTGGTGGAGTTCCCTAATAAAAACAAGCTTGGAAGCAGGAGTGGCATCCACTTCTGAAATAGCTTGCCTCCAGAAACCCTATGAACTTGGAGAAAAGATGAAAGTTATACGAGTGTTCAGGTCTTTCATTCATAGGGTCGGTATGACCCATGACTCAACGGCACCTAACAACAAACAATATATATTTCACTATACTTTTTTAAAAATCCATTACTCTCATTCATATTGTTATTTCATAACTTGAGTGTATTGCACATTTGTAAAGTTTTGATCTTTTAATGTGATAATAATTTATTTGATGTGGTTAGCTACTAATCAGATTGGACAAAGCTCATTCATGGCTGTAATACCTAGTACAACTATGAATATCAGTTCTAAACAAAATAAAATTTTGTTAATATTCATTTGATAAATTTTTAGTGTGCTTCCATTATTAGTAGTATGTTATTCCCCATGTTTGCTTAGAAGTAAATAAAATTGTTTCTAGTACAGACTAAGAGACAATCAATGTAGTTAAAGTTGTGTTTACACATAAAGTATAAAATCAGTCCCAATCAATATACAAAAGTTTTTTTCTAGTTAACACATAGAGTCTATGATTTAAAAACAAACAAACCCTTAGGCTTTACAGAAATATAAGAATATGTGAATTTATGAATTTGCATATATAATTAAGGGAAATCCTAGTAGCATAGCAGATATAAGAGTCGGTGCTAACAAAATGTCAGTGGTTCAAATCCACCAGCCCCTCCACCAGAGAAAGATGAAGCAATTTATTCTCACTAATATTTACATTTTCAGAAATCACTTTGGAGGGCTGTCATGAACTGCAATGGACTTCAGAGAATAGAATTTTGTAAAGAATTAAAGCTTCTAAATATCTTTAAATGTGAAGCTCATCTTCTACTCATTGGTATGGAGTTGGAATGAATTTATAGCTGACCATCCAGTGGGATTCTGAGGCTAGAAACTGTACAGAAAGAGATTGCTTCTATTTCTTTCATAGAGCTACTTGTGGATTCGAACTCCCACACAGGTACTTTAAGGTAGCAAACCAATTCCCTATGGACTAGCCCATCAGAGCTCCCTCAACTCATAATGTTGAGATGATTAAAAGAGAAGACATCTTGCTAAGTTCCTAAAGCATAGTATATCTATACTAGAAATTACTCCTAGACTTGCATCAAGGGAGCTGCATAACAGGATTTACCTCATCTCCTCTGTGTTGTTTGTTTTTTCTCAGTATCTTACCAACAGTTAACCAGTGTTCCCACCATTCAAGTAGACCTCTTGCCTCAGAGGTAATTATTACACTTTGTCTTTTAAATGTAAAACAATGCCTTTATTAATAGAAAATTCTATGTCAGTTATGAACCACATTGGTTATTTAGTTATGTTTTTAAAAAATATTTTGGGGCCAGATGTTTTTCACATTTTTTCTATGGAGTCTTTTACTGCCCTCCAAATTTAGCACTTTGATTGTGGTTCTGCCAGTGTAGAATATTTTGGGTTTCCTCCAAATAGGGGAATCTTGGCCCATTTAGATATCTGATACTGAGAAGTTTTCTACTGGAAAGTCCCCATTTGGCTCAACATTCAGTTTCTGCATTTTCTAGAGAAGTGACTTCTTTGCAAATGATTCATTGGAATTATCTTTTACAAAGGAAGGAAAAATATTGCCAAACGACAGAAAAACGATGAAATGAGAGATGTAGAAAACTATGAGTAAGTATAAATTCTCATAAATCACTTTTATTATTCATACCATTCAATTCCGTTTCCATTTTGTAAAATAGCAATACATTTTAAATGATAAAACATATAATTTTGATTATGCCAAGAGATGGATTATTTGGATAGCTAATATTTGCAAAAATGTATAGCATTATGTTACAAAGAAACTCTCTGATAAATGGAAATTAAAACTTTTCCCTTTAGAAAAAAATGGGTTATAAATATAAAATTGTGTGTATACACAGATTATCTGAGTTTTCCACAAATAATAGAGACAAAAAAATTATAGTGTAAATAATATTATTTCATATGTAGTTTCTCTTTTAAATGTATGAGAGGCTACTTTTTTTATAGTAGTATAAAGTTGAACTCCAGGTGATGTTTCATACAATTTTAAGGATGTATAGATATATAAAATTTACTATGTATATTGTGTAAAGAGTAATAGTGGCCTAGCGGGTAAGAAGCTGCAGTATCGATGTCAAAGCAAATGGTTTGAATCCACCAACAACTTTATAGGACAAAGAGGGACAATCTTAAAGCCTCTGAAAAACCCATTTGGACGGTAAGTTTGTGTCAGTTCTGACTTGACAACACATAATAACATAAAGATACTATGTATTTGATATAATTTTGCTTTGTAGTTAAGCTCTTAAATTATGTTTAATATTACACAAATAGGAAGTTTTGGGCATTTTCTTAAATTACGGTATTATGCTTTCACAAGGCACCTCATAGAATATTGCCTTGAGCATATAACTTTCTCACCAGTATGCTGATTTATTTCTCTCAATTGTGGAGTGAATTAAATAATTGCTAAGCCCTTTTTCTTTAAGCTTTACCAAAACCAGGAAAGAAAATAATACATGATAGAAAGTTTTATTAAAAATTTCTTGCCGTTATATGCACATTGCCTCTTCTAATCCACATAAGACAGCCTGCCTGCCTGCCTGCCTTAGAGTTGGCAATGCAACTCCTCCCCCAGCTGGTCATTGTAACATTGCAAAACAATTTTCGTTATTTCTATAAAAAATTTATTTGAGAAAGATTAAATAATTTAAGTAAAGTATCAAAGGCGGTAAAATATGATTAAACCCAAGTCTCTATTGTCCTTTGCACATCTATACATTTCATATATATATGAAAAATGCCTTTTCAAAAGGAAATTCCAGAAAGTATCTCAATTAGTGAACCATTTTTATAAATTCACATTGACAATATTTACTTACACTGTGTGTTGTGTACTATAGAGTTGGAACCAAACCAGAGCTGACCCTCTGATGGGTTTTCAGATGCATTTAAGCACAATGACTATATAGTGGTTAATTTTATACACATAAATATTTAAATCAAATGTAGTAAACAATAGTTTTATCCTTAGAATGCTATCTCTACTATATTTCTATAAACCAGTCCCACCAAATATGCTGAACTATTAGGACTGCAATTGCTCCCAGTATGCCTGCTAAACACTTTGACACTGATGCATCAAATGTGTTAATGGTTACCCATGGTGGACAGTGTTTGGTGGTGCTCCCCTATTAAAACAAGCTTGGAAGCAGGAGTGGCATCCGCTTCCGAAATAGTTTGCCTCCAGGAAGTCTATGAACTAGGAGAAATGACGAAAGTTAAACAAATGTCCAGGTCTTACATTCACAGGGTCGCTTTGAGTCATCTATGACTCAACGGCACTTAACAACATTTAGAAATAAAAGATTATTTTACACACACACAATTATTGTCAGCCCTAATCTTTACCATTTGTTTATAACAAACAGGGCAAATATTTTTTAAAAACCCTCAAAAAAATCTAAGCAGGTTAAAGTATGTAATTTTAAAAAAAGTTTTATTTTCCAATATAAATACACATTGTTAAGGCCTTTCATAGATGGTACAGACAAAACTGTATTTTTAATTTTCTAAAAAGACAACTGGAGTCACTACATGGCTATTAACACCAGTCGCCTCACTGTTCATCATTAGTATAGATAAAATAATTAATCTGATTTATAAGGTAAGGTTGTCATGGAAATATAGCAAACACAATCAAATAGCAATGTTAAAGTAGGCAGAATATATAATTGAAACAAGAGGGATTATAATTCAAATCGTTTTAAAATATGTGAGATATAGAAGCATTTGATTACTCTAAGACTGAAAAATTTCATTTAAAATAATATTCCAAATTGACTTTTTACATAACTTTCTTCCTATTGTTCATCCCTAGGTATGGCTCTTTCAGACAATTCAACTCTCTTACCTGGAATGATAACACTCAGGAGTTCCAAGGCTCTTCAAGGAACTTCTCACGTGTGATTGGAATTGGCACGTAATTTGTTCATACATAGTTGTTCTTTAAATAATTGATAAACGCAGTTCTTTCATGAAATGTGTGACATAAGATATATGATAAAATATCATAATAGAATGGTCAGAATAAAAATTTATTAAGAAAAACACCTCATAAAACTGTAAATGTAATAGAGAAATAGTTTTAAGACAAATTTTTAAGTTGACATCTTAGTTATAAGTGTTCAATAAAAACTATCCTACCTGTTGAATCAAAATTGACCTCATTTCCAGGACTTGGACCCAAATCAAGAGACACAACTGGCGAGAGTTTCCGAAAATCCCACAACTTTGTAACCCCACAGGCATCACAGGATGCTATCATGTGGCCCTTCAAAGAGATACAATAAAAACTATGAGTATACACGTACACATAATATGTATCTGTATTTTTATGTATCTCAAAATACAAAAGATGGGTAGAGAAGCTGTGGTATATTCGCACAATGGAATACTATGCTGCATTGAAAAACAAGGAACTCACGCAATATTATTCAAAATGGGTGAACCTGGAGGACATTATGCTGAGTGAGGTATCTCAGTCACAAAGGGGCAAATGCTATATGGTGCCACTGTTGTAGAATGAGGCTGGCAT